AATGTTCCTGAATTTCCCTCTGAGCTGGTGAAGCAGTGGAGGGAAACCAGGGAAAGGCTTGTGGTTCACAAGACAAAAAGACCCCTCTATCCACCACAGGTGGACCTCGGCTGGCACCCAGTGCCCACTGGCTGCTGCCCCTGTATCTTCCCACCCTGCCCCAGGCTCTGCAATCCACCTTGGCCCAAGATGGGAGACCGAAAGGGCCAGGGTCCCATCTGGGTCTCCTCTGGAACCGTGGGGCCTTGTGCCCAGGCTCCTGCCACTTCAACCCAAGGTTCCTCGATGCACACCCTGCTGTGTGCCCCCCGCTTCTCCAGACCCTCAACAGGGTTCCTCCCACTAACTGCTTGCTCTTCTGCCCAGGACAAGTCCAGCTAAGATGTCTCCTCCTCTAGGAAGGCCTCCCTTCCCGGGAAGAGTGGAGGGCCAGGCCAGCTCTCTGCTGCCGCAGCCCTAAGAGTTTGCCCTTGGCCCTGGTACTGCTTCCCCATTCCTGGCCCTCCATGGACCTGGCCTTAGGGGACCTGGGGGCCTGAGCTTGGCTACATGGGCCTCCTCAGCCCTGATCCAGGGACAGACATCTGGGAGGCGGGCAGGGCAGACGAGGAGTGGCCGGAGCGGGGACTCCAGGAAGGCCCTCACCTGGATGCCGTGCGGAATGTGTGTAAACGATGAGGATGGTCCCACAGTCCTCGTGGCCGGGGAGCGACGTCTGGAACCGTAATACCTCCATCTTTCCCTGGGGCTGGGTCCCCGTTTTCTCTCCGTAGATGGTTTTGCAGGAGGGACACTGCAGGCTTCCATCCTGAGAGGGGCAGACGCAGCCCACTGAGCTGGCAGCCTGACTGCCACCCCCACTGTCAGACGGTAAAGGGCCCCGGGAATAGGCCAGCTGCCATCCCAGGGAGTTGCTGGCAGCTTCTCTGCCCGGAAACTGGCTTCCAGCAGCTTCCCTGGAAAGCTTTGTTTTACACCAGCAACTCATTACGCCGTTTTCACTAAAGGGGTGTGCTATCAGGAGACAGGTGGCGAGTGGGAAACTCGGTCCTGAGCAGAAGTCTCCTCAGGTGAATTGCGTTGAAGTGGCACAGAAGCCCGCAGCACCTGATCTGCAGAGCTGGACTTGGCTGCAAAGGACGGCAGACACTAGAGGAGGCTGAGCCAGGCTCCAGGAGCCACAGGACTCAGTTCTTCAGCCTCCAACTCTGCCCATCCCGCCTGAAGGCCACTGGAGGGGGAGTGGCTAGGGGTCAGCCTGAGCGCGGCTCTTCATGGGTAGGCTGCAATGGGGCCCAGTCAGTTCTGCCTCAAGGTCTGGCCCCCACCTCCCAGCGAGGCGACCCTGGTCACGGCTCCTGCTCTGAGCCTCTCCCTCATCAGCACTGTGCTGACTGCATAGGGTCGCTGTAAGGAAGGAGGGAGACCGTGTATGTGCAGCGCTTACAAGTGGGCCGAGGGGAGGTGGTGCTCTGAGGCTCAGAGAATCCCAGAATCTCTTCGGGCCTGGTTGGAGGGCCCCAGCCCCCACTGGTCCCCTTTCTAAGCATGGGGCCAGCCTAAGAGAGCCAGCCAGGCCTTTAGAAAGGTCTTCAAGCTGGCTCCACACCCAGTACCATCTTTTGTAGGAACCTTCCACCACTGCAGAGGATAGCTCAGGGCTGTGTGGGCAGGCCACCCGCCTCCACCCCGGGCCAGTGTGGGTACCTTGTTGCCATTGCAGTACATGGCCAGCAGCACAGCAGGTGGAAGGCGTGGCTGCACTTGGTGAGGCGACCCACAGCCAGGGCCCGATGGCCTTGCTGTCAGTCATGTCGCTGTACCCTGACACTGCGGACAGCTTCTCCATGCAGATGATGCAGTCCTGGAGGAGACCAAGCACAGGAAATGCCCAGTGGGCTGGGCTCATGCAGTCCAGCCTTGGAAAAAGGGGCTTTCGTGTGCTGAAATGCTGGAAGTGCGGTCAATTCCGAGGCCAGGCGCGGTGGCTCAGGCCTGTAAACCCAGCACTCTGGAAGGCCAATCACTTGAGGTCAGGGATTTGAGGCCAGCCTGGCCACATGGGAAGACCCCATCTCTATTAAAAATATAAAAATTAGCTGGGCGTGGTGGCACCTGGCTGTAATCTCAGCTACTTGGGAGGCTGAGGCAAGAGAATCACTTGAATTCTGGAGGTGGAGGTTGCAGTGAGCTGGGATTGTGCCACTGCACCCCAGCCTAGGCAACAGACCGAGTCCATCTCAGAGAAAAACTGTCCATTCCACAGGCTGGGAATACAGGTGAGTCACCAGGACCTGTGTCCCTGAAGGACTTACCAGCAGCACAGGCCTGAGATGACACTGGGAGCCGCCAAATGGGTGGGACGGACAGGGCAAGCTCCTGGGGGAGGCCCTTGGAGTGGGATCTTAGAAGGGATACAGGAATTTCCAAACGGACAAGCACAGAGTAGGCACCCGGGGGAGGGAAGGAGGACATTCTGAACAAGGCCCTCAGCACATGGGCACTAAAGTGGGCAGGAGATGAGACAGGAACAGGGAGAGGCGGGCCCTCAGGGTTCTGGATGCCACGCACAGGGGCTGGGGCTGTGCGTGAGTGGGGGGGCCCCACTGGAAGTTCCAGGCAGGGAGTGCTCCCACGATCCAAGCTGCATGCTGGCTGTGTCAGATGGCAGCTTGGAGGAGAATCCTGGGCGAAACAGCCCAGTCACGCCAGATAGGCACCAGGGTGGAGATAGAGCTGAGTGCTGGGCAGGAGGGAGTGCGGCCAGGGCTGGTGGAAGGGGTGGACACACAAGGACTTTTAGGTTCCTGTCCAGAGTTTTCTCACGGCCTCAAATGACTGGGAAGGACACAGTGGAGAGTCCCTGGGTGCTGGTACTCCTGGCCTTTTACCCGCCTTGCTCCCTATCTCCAGGGCTCCCCACTGAAGTCAGGGGAAAGTGGTGCTGCAGCCCCCAAAACATGGGTCAGCAGAGAACTCGAGTTCTATGGAATTGCGACATTCATTAGAGGAGGCCAGGAGGGCCGGGCTGCAGAGAGCTGTGATCACATCACTGCACTGAGCCTGGGTGATGGCAGGCACCTCTGTCTTTAGAATTAAAAAACAGGCTGGGTGCGGTGGCTCATGCCTGTAATGTCAGCACTTTGGGAGCTGAGGCGGGTGGATCACCTGAGGTTGGCAGTTTGAGACTAACCTGACCGACATGGAGAAACCCTGTCTCTATTAAAAAAAAAAAAAAAATTACAAAATTAGCCAGAAGTGTTGCTGCACACCTGTAATCTCAGCTACCCAGGAGACTGAGGCAGGAGAATTGCCTGAACCTGGGAAGCAGAGTTTTCGGTGAGCCGAGATTGCACCATTGTTCTCCAGCCTGGGCAACAAGAGTGAAACTCTGTCTCAAAAAACAAGCAAACGAACAAACAGGAACCTTGACCAGCTCTCCCAACAGCCAGCAGGGAGGACAGCCACCTGGACGAGGCCACCTCACTTCTACACCCAGCGTCCATACAGTGAAGAATGGGGCAGGCGGGACCATCCTGTCTCCGGGATTCCTGTTCCCAGGACGGCCATCAGGCTACAGAGAAGCCAGGGCTGGGAGAGGAGGGGCATTCAGCTCCTTAAGTGCAAAGCTCATCATAACGATGTGGGGCTAGGGAGGCTGGGAGATGAAACCAAAGTGCCTGGAGCAAGGCCCTGGCACCCAGAGAACCCTGGGAAGCACCCTTCCAGCAAGAAGGGGTGGGTGTCCTTTCCATCTGGAGTTGTTTCCAAACAGAAACAAAGGCAGCCAGCTCCCAAGACACGAACCTCATCTGGGAGCAGTTTCAGCTCTTCCGTGTAGTTTTTTATGACCTGCTCTGGTTCTGGCTTCGGGGTGCCTCCTAGAAGAGAGAAGAACATGAGCAGTGTGCCGAGGAGCACAGGCTGGAGAGGAGGCCAGAAGGTGAGAAGTCATGGGGGAGATCCAAGCTGCCAGGAGGAAACGAGACAGGGGCCCAGAAAGGGAGGCCAGCGTGCGGGATGAGAGAGCTCAGCGCCAGACACAGAGCCCTGAGCTCCGCCCAGCAAAGCCTTCCCCAGCCCCACAACCTGGAGACCCTGGCTCAGCCCCAGGAGCCCTGGAGGACGCAGAAGAGGAGAGAAGAAACAGCAGCACAGTCTCCTGGGAGCTGCATCCCCACGCACATTCAGTGAGGAAACCCAGGCACTTCCGAGGCTGCCCAGAAGAGTCAGACAGCAGCTGTGAGCACAAACTACTCCAGAGGGCGCCGTGGCCACACAGTTCGATTCAATTTGCATTACTCTCGCATGAACATGGCAGGGAAAAGGGAGCTTGGGTCCAGTGCATAGGGGCACCTGCACGCACGCCTACTGCCACCCGACAGTCACAGGAAACACCTGCCTCTGACTGGGAGGGTCTATCACACGCCGGACTGGCTCCTAAGCCCAGCAACTCTGGAAAGGCGCCGAGACATGGCAGGAACTCATCCTGACGGCCTCACTGTCTGTGCACACATGCATGAAGCTGGAGGGAGAAGGGCTGCATCTCCATACACACCACACCCTGCATCCAGTAAGTCCCCTGCTACGGACAAGAAGCTCCCTGAGCTGGTGAGGATTCGAACGGCCCGGGGCGTTCTCTAGATGGCAGGAGTAGCAGAACCGAGGACAGCAGCCAAGCCCGAGCGGGGAGCGAAAGAGCAACAGAGTCCAGTACCCGCCCGTGGATGCGCTCCTGGCAGGGGCTCCACCCCAAGGTCATGGTGGGGCTGCTGGTGGCCCCAGACTCCAGGACAGAAGGGGCTCTGGTTTGAACCCAAACTCATGGCCACCAGCAGGTGCTGCAGAGACTCCTAAGCTTGAGGGCTCATATCGGCACCAGCCCAAATCCCCCTAGACCAGAAGGAGCCAGAGGGGAGAGTTTGACAGGGAGGTGGCCTGGTGGGGCAGAGGCTGGAGTCGGCACAGACTGTTTGATTCTGGTTCTCTTGCTCTGACCCAATCATGTCACCACTGGGCCTCCGTTCCCTGATCTCAAGTGGGGAAGCCGAGTATCTAACCAAGGTAAGGAACTGCTATGATGGCGTCTGCTACTGTGACCTGGAGGGAGGCTGCTGGCAAGACCATACCCACCCCCACTGCTAGTCCACATACCCCACACCCCACATACACCCACACACCATGCACACCCATGCACCCCATGCCGCCACTCACACCCACACCCACATACCCCACACCCACACCCCACACCTCCACACACCCACACCCCACACCTCCACACACCCACGTACCCCACACCCATACCCCACACCTCACACCTCCACTCACACCCACACCCACATACCCCACACACATCCACACCCACATACTTCACACCACTCACACCCACACACCTCACGCACCCACACCCCATATACCTCACACCTCCACTCACACCCACACCCACTTACCCCACACCTCCACTCAAACCCACACCCACATAACTCATACCTCCACTCAAACCCACCCACTTACCCCACACCTCCACTCACACCCACCCACATACCTTACACACCCACACCCCACATACCTCACACCTCCACTCACACCCACACCACATACCCCACACACACCCACACCTCACATACCTCACACCTCCACTCACACACCCACACTACCTCAACCATCCACACCCACATACTTCACACCACTCACACCCACACCCACATACCTCACGCACCCACACCCCAACAACCTCACACCTCCACTCAAACCCACCCACTTACCCCACACCTCCACTCACACCCACACCCACATAATTCACACCTCCACTCACACCCACACCCACCTACCCCACACCCACACCTCACATACCCACACCTCCACTCACACCCACACATACCCAACACCATCCACACCCACATACTTCACACCACTCACACCCACACATACCTCACGCACCCACACCCACATAACTCACACCTCCACTCACACCCACCCACTTACCCCACACCTCCACTCAAACCCACACCCACATAACTCACACCTCCACTCAAACCCACACCCACATACCTCACACCACTCACACCCACACCCACATACCTCACACCTCCACTCACACCCACCCCCACATAACTCACACCTCCACTCAAACCCACACCCACATACCTCACACCTCCACTCACACCCACACCCCACATACCTCACACCTCCACTCACACCCACCCACATACCTTACACACCCACACCCCCACATACCTCACACCTCCACTCACACCCACACCCACATAACTCACACCTCACTCACACCCACCCCCCACATACCTCACACCTCCACTCACACCCACACCCACATACCTCACACCCACACCCACATAACTCACACCTCCACTCAAACCCACACCCACACCTCACACCTCCACTCACACCCACACCCACATACCTCACACCTCCACTCACACCCACACCCACATAACTCACACCTCCACTCACACCCACACCCCACATACCTCACACCACTCACACCCACACCCACATAACCTCACACCCTCCACTCACACCACCACCCCACATACCTCACACCTCCACTCAAACCCACACCACACTCCCTCACACCTCCACTCACACCCCACCCACATACTCACACCTCCACTCACACCCACACCCCACCTACCTCACACCTCCACTCACACCCACACCACTTTACCCACACCTCCACTCACACCCCACCCACATACCACATACTCACACCTCACTCACACCCACCCCACCTCCCTCACACCTCCACTCCACACCCACACCCCACATACCCTCACACCTCCACTCACACCCCACACCCCACATACCCTAACACTCCACTCACCACCCACACCACCCACATACTCACACCTCCACTCACACCCAACACCCCACATACCTCACACCTCCACTCCCACCCCCCACCCTCACCCACACCCTCACATCACACCCACACCTCACACCACTCACACCCACACCCACATATCCCACACACACCCATACCCCACATACCTCACACCACTCACACCCACACCCACATACCTCACACCACACCCACATACCTCATACCTCCACTCACACCCACACCCACATACCCCCCACACACCCACCCCACCCCTCACACATCCACACTGACACCCCACACCTCCACCCACACTCACGCCCCACACCTCACACCACCCACACCCCACACATACCTACACCCCACAACCTCCACATCCCCTTAACCCCACCTCCACATACCCCACACACCACACACCTCCACATACCCACACACCACCCACCCCACACCCCATGCACACATCCCCCACCTCCACATATCCCATACACAGCCCCACCCCCCACCACACACCCCACACACCCCCACCTCCACATACTCCTCACACCCCCCACACCCACCACACCCACACAACCCCCACCTCCACATACCCCACACACACCCACCTCACCCAAACCCACATACCCCACACCCACACCTCCACACACTCCCCACACCCACATAACTCACACCTATATACCCCCCACTTCCACATATCCCACACCTTCACCAACAACCACACATCCCACACCCACCATACCTCACACAACCCATAAACCCCACACATCCACAAACCCACAAACCCCACACTCCACACCCCACGCACACCTCCACCCACACCCACACACCCTCATCACCCCACCCCCCACCTCACACACACACACCCTACCATCCACACCCACCCATACAGACTGCCCGGACCCACACTCCAGTCATCTGTGGTGAGAAAGCCGACCAGGACCGATGGCCCCCCAGCTCAGGGCAGCTATCTGTGTGCCCGGAATCTCCTACTCAGGCTGAGGGGTGCCTTTTCTTTTGGAAAAGCCTGTGGACTCCAGAGCCATCTCCGAGTGAGCCTGGGCCTCGCCTCTGTCCAGCCCTGGTGAGGCCGGGCACAGCATCCTACCCCACCCACCCACCCCGTCCTTGCAGCCTTGGGAACAGAAGGACCTTTCCATAGCCATGAGTCTCAAAAGGGGCCAGCCAGGTGACCTGCCAAGAGCGTGTCCTTCCCAGGTAAACCCGAGTGCCACAGAAGGCTAGCAGCCCAGCCTGTCCACCCGTCTGGCTCCTCCTCCAGGGCAGGGGAAAGGCTGGCGTGCAGAGCCCTGGGCTAGGGGCAAGAGCTCCTGGCCCACCCCTCCCTGAGCTCACCCCCTCGACCTGTGGGCTGGAGGTCAGGCACGATCAGAAGCCACCCTTGCTGCATGCCAGGCACTGCAAAGCGGAGGCTCCAGGAGGACCTGCTGAGATCACACAGCCACTGAGGGCTGCAGGGCCAACGGCCACCATCCCTGCCCACCACCACGCCGACTCAAGAGTATCTGGGCTGGCCGCAGTCCACACTTCCATGGCCCAGGGGTGGAGGCAGGGCCAGCACCGCTTGGGAAAAGGTTCAGAACTTGCCACGCAGGGTGCTCCGAGCAGGTCCTGCTCTAATGTCTCGAACCTGCTATAGTCCTAAAGCCCCTCCTTCCTGGCCATGCAGCAGGCAGGGCAGGGGTCCCTGAGTTCCCTTTTCAAGCAGTCATGTGTCGGCCACTCGGGCTGGCGGTCAAGGCAGCAGACTTGGCCACTGTCTGGGGCCTTTCCTGAGACACACACTGTCCCTGGTGGAAAGGACGGTTGTACCCACCCGGTGAGCCAGGCCCTGCTTCTCACCCACACCTTAGTCCTTACAAAAATCACAAAATCCTCAAGAACAAGCCCCTCTTGTGCCAGTTGTAACTGGAGGAGAGGAGCCTGAACTCTGGGGCTGTGGCGTGAAAGTCCAGCTCCACAGGGGCCACCCTCTTGCTGCTGAGTGGGGGGCAGGGAGAAGGGCCACTGAGCCCATCCCCCCAGGAA